TAATATTTCAAATGGAAAATCTTTGATTTGGATGGTTAGCATTGTTAACAGCCGTCCCTGTTTTTGTCTTCTGTGAAGTATATTGATCTTTATTTTAACTGGGATTTTCAAACAACTTCAAACGCCTCACATGTCTCGCAACAGAATTTCAAATAAGATATCTGTACGACATTTAGCTTTCTCTTATTTGCTGGTTCCAAATTAGGATTGATCAAATATAAAATCTAATGATTCTGTTTACAAACAGATTTCTCTGTGCATCTATGATGACCATTGTTTTTTTGTTGTTGTTGTTGCTTTTTTTCCAGTTAAGGTGTAACTATCAATGTATGAATTGCTAATGATGGTGGTGTTAAATAAAGGATCACAACACATAAGACAGTATTTGGTGGTACTATGCAAGCATGAGGGTCTTTTTAATTATTTCCCACGTAGGTGGTCCTTCAAGCAGAATTTGCCTTCATGGTGTCAATTTCATCTGATATCTCACATTTCCATCTTAACCACCACAACTGTGATAACAATTTCTTGAGCGTTAGCTGATCCAGGGAACGTTTCCTCTGTGATCTTCAGTCTGTACATGTTTCCCTTTCAGCTGCAGCGCTCACACACAGAAAAGAATAACAAGAGATAATTCAGTGCAGGATTTGAGTGTGTGTCACCATGAGAGTATGAGAAAGGGGAAGAAAGGAACACCAACATAGCCTTTCTTGGACAGCCAGCCCACATAGGAACAATATGTTTGGCTGCCTTTCAGTCACTTTAAGCTTAAGTTTTCCTTTTTTTTTTCCATTCTGTGTTTATCTTTGATCCTTTACTCATACTTTATTGTAATAAATCAATAACGGGTGCATCATAGTAAAATTTGAAATTAGTCAGGTTTTAAAAGAGAAGCGTGCAATCACGTTAAAATAAAGTACTCCCATTTTCAAATCCAGTAGCTTATGTATCGGGATGAAAATAATCAGTTTTTTAACAGATTGAAAATGTGTCTAAATCTAATTTTCAAATTGGATAAAAGCCCACAGCAGACTTGATGCTGGCATTGTTGATTAAAAAAAGATTAAACCAAAGACATGGAAAGAAAAGGAGCATCAATGTATTGTGAATTAAATGAATTTCTTTTAAATAACTAGACATCAGTGTGAACCACCTCTAAAATAACACAGGAGTTTGTTGTCAAGTGTAAACTGACACAATGGCAAAAAGGAAAGACCTCAGCAATAACTTCCATTGTTGTTGCCAAGCAAGCTGGTCAAGGCTTAGCTTAATATTAACTTCTGAAATTATCAGACAATTATATATATTGTTTTTAGCATCAGAAAGCTGGGTTCCAGCCAACGGACACACTTTAGCAGGCCCTGTTTAAATTTCTTCAGAAATGTTCTAGTATAATATTGTTTCGAGAATTTTCTTTTCACACCGACGGCATCAATTGATCTCAATTTGCCGTCAGAGCAACTCGGAAGTTACATTTTTGTAGAGGTTGGCTGAACATTTTCTTCTTGCTTGATTGCCATTTCAGTAAAGCCTTAGAACTTTCAATAATTGTGTTAATATTCAAGGGAGATACCCTGACAAGAAGGCAGTGAACAGCTGATTATGAAATTGATTTGAGAGCCTCAGAGGTGTCTGACAGCTTCATTAAGACGTTTGTGTTGATGTGTCAACAGTTTAACTCCGTGGCCTTGAGACGTTTCGTCTTCCACGGATCCGCTGACGCAGTTCGGTGATCTGGTCTTAGTAGAATGTTTTAAATTTTAAAAAAAATTAATTTTTTTAAATTTTCCCCTCACGATAGCAGCCATTCTCAGTTGATCAGGTGTACTGATATGCTGAGGGACACTAGGCCTAATTTAATTTAATTTAATTTAATTTAATTTTTTTTTTTTAAAAAGACTAAAAGCCACAAAGTAGTTTGATTGTGATTTGCTTAAAAAATGTGCAAATGACACAGATTGGTTTAATATAAATCTCACATTTCTTATGAAGTGTGGTTGACACAATTTTTCTCATATTTGGAGTAACTCTGTTTGTTTTGAAAGGTTTAAAAATGTCGTTGGTCCAGGATGTCGGTCAAACCTGCTGCTGAAAATTATCCCTGCCGAGACAAGAAGATGGTGAAATCAACATCCGATCACTTTGGGTGTCGTATTCTGTACTTTTGCCCTGCTGTGATTGGCTGCTTACTTTAGTTCACAGCACAATTAACAACTGTGGAAAAGTGTGACTGGACGTTAGAAAAACCTTTGGACTTACTTGAAGAGTCCTGTCCATAACGTTTGTTCACTTCCCTTGTGTCTCATGAAACATTTATAAGGTAAAAGACACATTGCGAAGTTTTCACTGCTCTACCATCTGTAAAATTTAAGGCTGAGATTTTCAGATACTTTTTTTTTTCTCCATAAGTTGATCAGAATAATTTAGCAGTGACAGTCTAATGTTTACTTAAAAGAAGTGTTATGTACTTGCTTAAAAAGTAGTTTTGATGGTGTTTTGTAAAATATTATATATACGACACTGCTACAATGGTGCAGTGACCAGTGCAGTCTCTTACATTAAATGCCAGAGTGAAGGATGTAAAATGCTAAGCAGGATTTGTTTGTGGCTCCCAGGCTGTATGCAATGACAGATGTACTGCCAAAAGAACTGCACTAAATTTTAAAAGTACTTTTTAATATTTATTTTATAATTTGTGCAAGAAAAATCATCCATCTGCTGTGATTTGAAATGTTTGTTCCTTATGGATGGATAAATCACAAAGCTGTCATTAAATTAAAATTGTATTTATTTCTTTTTACATCTTAACATAAAAATTAATCTGGAGAGAAACTAACTGATTTGAGGTGTCAGTTAGTTTGGTTACCATGTTTGTGCCTAAATTAAATTGCACATTTGCAGATAACTGAAAACCTTGTGCTTTACCTGAATCCAAGGCCGCTTTCTCCTTTGTCGGCATATAAAGTTGTTATGCATTTATGAAATCTAGTCATTTCTTGTTTATATCAGAGTTTACTTGATAAATTTCAACTATCAGTTTGTTACTTATTAAATAAAACCTCATTGCAATTTCTGTTAAATCAGTTTGGCTGAAGAATGTAGGATAAAGCCTGTCATGGATTTTTTTTTTTTTTCTGGGAGACATATTATTATTATTCCAGTGGCAGATTGTAGACGGTAGATGGTCTTCTGCCCTTCAACCCAGTGGTTGATTGGACCCTACTGTCAACATCTTTATACAATCTTCTCATTCCTAAAGCTATTAGTCATCAGTGTCACCGCCGCCAGGATCACTGATTGTTGACTTCATTTCTGTCTTTGCTGCCACTGTTTGAATGACGAAGCAATGAGCGATTGCTTCTATAATTCTGTCTGTCGGTGTGTTTGTACGCCCGTTTCCTTTCACTGTACCTCCAGCATTAACTGCAGCTGTCAAAATGGATACTCTGAACACAACCATACATCTCTTGAGCTGTAGGAGTTTCTTTCAGCCCTACCTTTGTAAGACATTCCTCAATATGGGTGCAGTGCACCCTGAGTGAATTGAGTTGCAGCTAGAGGGAAAATAAATAATACCCGACAGCTGTTAGTGATGTTTTCTTTTTTTTTTTTTTTTTTGATGTTGTGATAAGAAACGGCAGAAAACCTTGTATCAGAGATAACGTAATTACACATGTCTTGTTCCTGGTCTGGGGTGAAAAGATTAACACATACCGAATTAAAGTAATCAATCCCTAGTCCGGTCCTCGAGAGATACTTTTCATGCATTCTTTACTCTGCAGAACTTAAATTATTGGAATTTAATTATTAATAAAAATATTATTATCCGTATGTGGAAATGATGTATAAAGCTGGAGTACAGAAAGTTAATGTGCAGCATCCTGTAAGTAAGTTTAATGTAGGATGTTTGATCAGACTAATAAATCAGATGTTTGTTGTGAGGTTAAGGCGAGTTGTTCATTGTTAATGATCTCTTGTTTTGCTGTAAGCTGAATAATGTATTTAATATTTTTCACTCTAATATATTTCACGCTTACCACTTTCTTACTCATAGGAAAAATAACAAGAATAATACCTTCAACAAGCAAGTTAGATCTAAAAAAAGGTTAAAATACTTCACAGTTTTGAGAAAGAAAGGGATACTGTAAATTGTATGATTAATTTGGAGTGTGTCAAACAAAATTTCTTCAAGGTCTCTCAGTCAAATTCAGATTTGTGATCCTGTCATGCGGTTATCCAGTCCATCACTGCTTCCCTTAAGGTCACTGCTTGGTAGGTTTTCTATGTCTTAATGATGTTTAGGTGTCATCTTTTTCTGTCAGCCATACTCTCTCCCTGCTGATTCTTACTCTGCTATTCTTTCTGTTTTCATGTCCTTCATTTTCAAGCTATATTTCTTACTGTTTCTGTCCTGATGTTTTGTCTTCCTTCCACTGACTTGTAATTTTAGTTTTTTGGTTTTGCAGTTTGTTATACTTTTTTAAAAGTCATACACAACTCTCCAGAAAAGTTTTTTCTTTGATTTTATTTATGTTTTATTCATTTCATTCTTACCACCTTAGCATTATTGTGGATCTGTCTTTACTAATAAAAAAAATAAGAGTGTATTTTAGGCAAATAACTGTTCTGCATTGCTTTCCAATGCATTTGACACTGAAGGATGCAAAATGTGATTACCAGATAAGCCAAGCTGCCACAGATCATTTGGACATGTCAAAAAATATATATGTATAGACCTTTCTGCTCACACATTATGTAAATGACACATGTAGCTAACTATTCAACACAACTTCAACTCAAGTATTATAGTAAAGACCCCTTAGTTTTCCCCCTGATTTTTTTAAAAATGGTGGAATCTCTGCTGCATAATTTTGTCAAGTATAGATATTTTATTAGGTTATTGATCTAGATTTTTGGTTGCTAGTTGTTGTATCTTTAATACATAATTATTATTATTATTATTATTAATAATTTATTTTTTTTTACTTTTGTTTCCACAGTGACAAACAAGAAACCGTCCCATGTATCCCTCACTAAAGTGAAGCAGTTCCAAGGATCATCTGCCTTTGTCAAAAGGTCACAGTGGACAATTGATCAGCTACGGCAGATTAATGGCATCGACTCCAACAAAGTACGTATTTACAACGCCGCCAACAAATGAAGCATTTTACATAAACATAAAACTTCTTACTTGAGCTTTCCCTGTAATAACACAAAATGTTTTAATTTGTTTTTGTCTTATTTACTTGTTTTTTCAACAACTCCTCTCTGTAATGTCAAACCTATAACGGTTTACTTGTTTACTCAAAGGACTGTCCAGAATTTGACCTGATGTTTGACAATGGTTTGGACCAGTGGGTTGCCAGTTCAGCAGGAGAGAAGTGCACCTTCATCCAAATTCTTCATCACACCTGCCAGCGCTACTGCTCGGCACGGAAACCAGAGTTCATCAACTGTCAGTCAAAGCTGCTTGGTGGTAAGATATTTCCAAAGTAAAAAAAAACAACAACTAATTTTTTAAAATCTAGTCAGAAAACCATGGGCGTATTGTGACAGATTCACGGATGTAACCCTGTGCTGTAAGCCAGAATCCTGTTATGTGTGATGACAACCAGCACCTGGTGTGTATGAAAATGTATGCTTATTACTTGTACGCAGCATCTGTTGTGTGCTCAGTTGATGCTTTGTCAAAAGAGGAAGGCGAAGGAATAGGTCATCTTTGACTAAATGCATTTTTCAAGGTTAAGGTGGTCTTACAGCACAAACACATCCTTTAATACTTTAAAATTTTAACATTTAATTTCCATCATAACAGTCGGCCAGTTCCATCATTAACGATTTGTAAAATACTTACCATATTTGATGCAGCATTCCTCTTCTTAATGTAGAATTACACTTTGACATGACTGCTTCTTGCTTTCTCATACTGATACTAAATGAAAGAAACCAGAGAAACAATTTAAAATAATGTCTCCTTTTGAGTGTTACTCAGCAAGTGAAGATGCTTGTTTAAAGCCATTTTAACATATGTTGGTCTTAATTGTTACACTCACGTTAAACACGCTGTTGTTGACGTGATGATGGTGCTTTTTATTATAATTCTGGGTGGTTTTATCAGATTATCCTCAATTCCCATCTCAGAACATCAGTCAGTTTGCCCTATTCATAAAAACAATTTGTTGAAAACTGAATGTCCAAAACCTTCCTGCAAGCTCCACAAGATTCAGGACTCGGTTATGGGAGAGGTTTGCGGCATTTCTTCCGCTGTTAAGAAATTATTTAATATGCACTGCATTGCAGTGAGGTGAGTTGTTGAGGCTGTCGTCACTCATCCTCTTACTGCTTTTTATGTTTGTCATTGTGTGTGGGAACTGACTATCTATCCATTGATGATAAAGATGCCGTATCTTCCCAACCTTCCTCTACATTGCTTTGACCTCCCTCCTACATTCATGACCATGTCCATATTTAACATTTTTCAGATGACTTTAGTTCATAGTGTGAAACCTGTGTGCGTAGGTGGGGAAGTAGCAGTTTCCCAAAGAGCAAAAACTGTTTAATGCTTTTCAATGAAACATGTTGAGCAAAGTTGCTCTACAACCAGTAAATTTGAAAATGATAATTTTCGAAATATTATTTACATTTGTCTTATTTAAAAAAATAATAATAATCTGTGCACCAAGCTTGCTTCTTGGTAGACGTCAAACAGTAAATCCAATCTTTGCTAATCTGCCAAAGATTAGCAGCTTTGCTTTCTCTGGATCTGTTTAGCATGACTGATAGAAGAGATGTCTTTAAATCACTCAAATAATGACAAGAAGAATGGGGGGAATCCCAGACTGCTGCCAGTTCTGTCTACTCCAGTTTAAGTCTCACACCAGTGCAAAACAAAAATCATGACGCTGCTCAGGTGTGGGACCCTAACTGTGGATGGGCTCTATCTGCAGAAACGCGTGGAAGGACAGGCATTTATAAGCTTAGAAATAGCGTGAATATGATTAAATGCAGCTAAATTGAGTGGAAAGTAATGCAAGACAAGCATTCCTTCACTATTTAAGAAAGAAGAATTGATTTTACACAGTTTAACTTGATTCAGATTCAAATTTCTTTTTGCAAACTACTTTATAAAAAAAAGATCACTATTCAAAATGTGATGCCATTAGTTAGTTATGTAAGAAGCAAAGTCAATATTAATGCATTGTTTGAGACAGCTGTAAGTCTCTTTGTGGCCAGTTTCTCTGTCTTCTTCTGCTGATCTGTGAATGTCTATTTTATCCAGCCTATAAAGATGTCATTAAAGGTTTTATATCCTAGCAGGGACTTGCATGGCATTAATGGAGAACTAAACTTCTAAGTTATTTACCCTTAACTTAATGATGATAATAATAATAGAACTAATTTAAAAGTAACAAACAAATCAAACTTGTTTCTGGCTGATGTTTTCTCATCGCAGAAGGCTTAGATACAGTCGTTTACCACTGCAAGGTCTATTTCAACAGAATGAGGAAAGTGCCATATCGTGGTCCTCCTCAAAAACAAGGTAAGCACTGCAAAACAAAAAATACGTATCTATTAATAACAGTACGTTGACTTCCCGGTGTCATAAATTATTTTACAGATATGAAAAAAGAAGAATCCCAGTTGTTCGTTTTGGATAGACTAACCTTTTTAAATGTCGACTATCAAAAGAAGGATATGAGACAGGAGTTTTAATGAAATGTTTGTAAATTAGCTGTTTAACTGAAAAAGACAACCTTACTGGGGAAAAAGCACAAATGTCTAATAAAAAATAAAAAATAAAAACCGCTGTGATTTGTTGTCTCAGATTAGTTCAGTTGCAGCCATTTGTTTTTCACAGTGCTTCATTTAAGCACAGGGACATCTTTCACTTTGCATGTGGCACTGCAGAAGTCATGCAAATGCTGATAATCAAAGGTTGGGAGCCAAGAACTCACTGCCTTCACCCCTCACTGTCAGACTTTGTGCAGACTCGCTAATAAAAGGCTGTTCAGAGATAAATCATGATCTGGTGTCCAAGGACAGCACAGTTACAGTCTGCATCCTCACTAATGCTGTTTTCTGTGCTGCTGTTTAGATTGTCTCAGACTATGATTTATGCTTTCTTGGGGTAATAATGACAGAAGTTGTGTCATTCCTTTTGCCTGTAACAATCAAAACATTCATCCTGTTTGGAAATGATTGTGTGATAGTGGCATTAATCTGCTGTTTGGCGACGCACCGTAGAGACTGTTTATCAATGCTCATTATCATTAAACAAACTAATTAACCTGTTATTAAATCATTCAGCAGAAGATTATTCAAATCCCCGAAAGGTTCAGATTTAAAGAGATTATGTTTATCTGCTAGGAAATGAGACACAAGTCTCTCAAAAGATTAAACAATGTTGAAAATAAATTAAACGTTTTACATTTTATACATGTTGAACATTATTCATGCTCTTCTCAATCATTAGTGGATTTTTATTTTATTTTTTTACAAAGGGCCGATGTTTGATATCTGATATCTGATTTGATTTATTGTTTCCTTCAATAAATCAAATCATCATTTATCAATAGAAGTAGGTTATTAACATTTTGTTTGATCTGACATTTAAGTGTGATCAGAATGTTACTTTAAACTTAGAATAGCTTCAAACACCACTTCTTGATTACACAAGTTACAACCTAAAATGTTAAAATCTTAGTAATATATTGTTTGAATACATTGACAATCTAAGGATTTTTTTTTAAATCTTTGCTTATACAGTTTGTGTCATTTACAAGATAAATCTGTTTTGATAAAACAAAAGCAAACAAGAAAAAATATATTTTTATATATATGCAAAGTCTGGATGAAGTGTCGCAGAAAATGCTATAGAAAATACACAGGTTCTGAGATTAGAGGAATATTTTGTGCTTGATTAAAAACAAGAATTAAACAGGACTCCTAAAAGACAGTGAATTTACTTTGATGGGGGGGGGGAGGGACTTCAGAAGGACCATGGACGAAAACAATTGGAATCAAATTTAGTTGGAGTGGAACGGGGTGTAGCTTGGAGAGATTCCCTCCATGTTTGAACCTTTCCTATACGTTCATTATGCTGCTGTTGGTACTGTCAGAATTTGCATTAATTAAACTGCAGGAGGTTACTGCAGCAGCGAATACCTACAGGCTCCTTTCACGTCTGTTTTTCTCTCTCCCTCTCTATTCTCTACACAATTTAGCAGATTAAAACAGCAGTTTTCCTAGTTTAATAGTCTACATTTTACTCCTCTACAAAGCTATTCAAGATAGATAAATTTGACTGCATTTTTTTGTTGGATATTTTCATGAATATTTTCTTTTTGCTAAGCTTGAAAATTCCATACAAAGCAGGAAATAGGATCTTCTTTGTTCAGGGTAAAGATTATGTGGAGGTGATTTTTTTTAATTTTTTTTTTTAAACCCCAAACTAAAGAGTGGGTTATTGTGATGAAACAAGACGGCACACTAACTTTCAGTTCTAGAGATTAAATAATCTGTTCTATACCTATTATAAGATAATTAAAATCTTACTTAGAGTGTACAAAATCTCACTACTCATATGTTCCGATTCACTTCCAGGATGAAATACACTGCAGTGTGTATCCATGATTTTTTTATTTATTTATTTATTTATTTTTTATGTAGCATTGTTTGTTTTTAGAGTTAACAGTATAATCTCATAAACGCCTCAGGAAATGTGGCTCAGCTGTCGGTATGAGGTTTCCATTGATAACCATCAGATCATTTTCTGAGTATCACAGGAGCTCGGACTCTTGTCTTGGAATCCACTGTCCAACTTCCTGGTTTTGTTTCTCTTTGTTGAAAGCCTGAAAACAACTTCTTTGTTGGTTGAGTTTCTGCTGCCCAAAAAATGCTAGATTATGATACAAAATGGACTGAGAAACATTGGTTTACAAAATCTTTACAACTTTATTTTTTGTTCAACATACTTGACCAGATGGGGGGTTGGGAATCATTTGCCTAAAAGAAAACAGTTGTGAGTTTTAGCCTACAGCTGTTACTGCTTTATGTGAATGTATTGATTACTAGTCATATTCCACTGTAGGATGAGATATCGGCATTCGGTTTGAATCACAGGAACTGCGCCACACAACACACTCTGCTCCTTCACATCTATTTTGAGTTGCAATGTTCCAACTCCCTTCCCTCCTCTGAAACCGTTGCACAGCCTCCCCACCCAGCATTTCTCTAATTACATTCTACAGTACACTTGGGGGTAGCCGGTGCAACAGCCTGCCACTGATTTCTGTGAATAGAGCAGGGAAAGCTCCAGAGGACAGAAAATGGTAGGCAGACAAATAAATGAAGATGTTCTTTTTAGTGCGAGGAGATGAGTGCGGGGGTTTTACAGCGGGTGAAGGGAGCACGACTCCCTGGGCTCCCCTGGATGACGAGGAGGAAGAGAATTAAGAAAAATCCGTGATAAAGGCGTAAAAGGTCTGCAACTTTTTATGAAAGTTTGCTTTTACAAAGTTGAGCAATGGATATTATCTTGTGTCTGTGTCTTCATTTTCTATGAGCGTTAATGTAAATATGTACCCCCGTCCATGTCTGCAGATCTTGTTCTAACAAAGGGACTAATTCTGAAGAGCTACCAGGTGGCCTCGCCGTCTGCTTTTGGGCTGTCATATAATCCAGTGCAGTGGAGCTGACCCAATTATCTGTCACTCACCATACCCGTCAAGGGACATACACTTACTATATTGGAGTTTCATGTGGGAAATAATAGAATCCAGGTTGTCAGTTTCCAAATGCACTCAGTTTCCCCTCTGCATTATGTGCATGTCCTCTTGTGAGCCACCAAATGTATGTGTAGGTCACAACCTAAAAACGTTTCAGATGTTTTCTTGTTTGTTTTGTTTTTTTCTGAACTGACGAGGTGTCCTTAGGTACAGATCTAACAGAACTCCCATCGAGTAAGAGACTAATCCCTCATCAAAGGAAACATCCGCAGGGCTGCCGAAGTTATCTGAAGTGATCTTTGTTCTGTCTTTATATCCACCTGTGGGTTTCCAGGGCAGCCCAGGAGGCCAGCTGTCCTTTATCATGCTGTAAATTAGAAAATAGAGTAATAAATGTTTTGCTCAAGAAGTTCAAAATGAAATAAAGGAAGTGGCAAACCCTTCTTTTACACTCTTAGAAATTGTCGAAAGAAGCAGATGATTGTATTAGTTCTGTTGTCCAGTTTATGGATCGGGTCTGCTGATGCGTTTTGTGGCAGGTGCTTTGGTATTATTGAGTTATTACTGATCTAGTTCACAGTACAGGCTAGACTTACTGCCCCTTGTCACTGATCCTATTTCTCAAAGAAAAGTCATGGAGAACCTCATCTTTTGCAGATTATGTGGCACCGTTGGCATCAGCAAGCCAAGGCCTGCAGTGTACACTGGAAAACTTTACATCCCAAGCTCCTCATGGTTGTTAAGGTAGACTGTTCACTCTGGGTTTTTGGTCAGTCTGTCTGAAGTGGAGGAGTTCATGTCCTGTTCATAAGTGATGGCAGGAGATGGATAGGAGGACTGGAGCCTCGTCAGAAGTAACATGGGTACTACTTTGGATTCCCATTGTTACGAAAGAGCTGGGCCAAAAGTGAAGCCCTGGCTGTTTATTTTCACCCATGATAACAAGACACAGATCAGGACTGAAAGCAGAAGATCCCAAAAACAAAAGACCGAAACAAGCTTCAACTGACTCCAGTAAAAGATTCCCAGTGGTAAATTAAATGTAATGACTTAGTCCAAGTTAATTCATAGAGTCACTGAAGACAATGATAGCTGTGCAACAGAATAATCCTCTGTAGTGGTCTCTTTTGCAGAGTTTGTGGAGCCCCTGATGGTAAACAATTACTGTATTATAAAGATGGTGCTCTAGAATGCCCATTATGTTCTTCCTGTCATTAAGTGTCATTTCTAGAGGCTTTAGCCCCGAACACAGAGCTAGCATCACAAGAGGTGATGGCAGAAGAAAGTGATACTCTCTCAAAAAAGCAAGAAATGCTGCAAATGCTGAAGGAACTATCAGCATTTGCACCATTCTGCTCCGTCTCTTATTTTATGCAACTTCACTTTTGTGTGAACATAAGAATAGTTTTACTTCGTCGCCACCTCCTGTTTTGTTTCCATTGAAGGAAACGGTGTTTTAGATTGTCCCGTTTCCCCTGAAATCTGCAGTCGTCTTGTTTGTCTCGTTCATATTCAAGGTGAGATGGTTGTTTCCACACCGCGCCACACAGCGTACTCAGCCCACCTCTGCCACACCTGGCAACTGCAGAGTCCTCTGAGTATTTTTACACATGACAGGACTCCTGACGTTTTCTGATATCACTGTGAATAAAATCAGCTCTGAAGAAAAACTCATTACCCACCCACCCACTTTGCACTGGCTGGAGACCATTTTGTTTTTTGATTACTTGGTCTGGCATCATTAACACTATTGGTCAGGGGCGCTGACTGCGCCGCGTGTAATGTCACAGGTTTTGTCTCTTTACCAAAGTAACCAAAGTTTCTTCTCCCCCTTCTTTTCTCTTTTCACCACTGTTTGTTTCGCCTCACTTCCTGCTTCTTGTTGGTCTCCCTGTTTCACGGCTTTGCTGCTGCCCTTTTCTGCAGGTAACAGTATACTCCACTCAGCTGCAGGCAGTGTGACCAGTGCTGTACAGAAGGCCAGCCAGGCTCTGAATGAGCGCGGTGAGCGATTAGGTCGGGCAGAGGAGAGGACTGCAGACATGATGAACAGTGCCGAACAGTTTGCTGTCACAGCACAGAAGGTGAGTCAAACTAGACGCTCATTAATGCTTGAGAAAATTCTAGGTGCTCGTTCCCTCCTTCGATGTGAAAATGGCAAGTTTGTCATCTTTAAAATAAAAATATCTCTCCTATATTGAAGGATTCCGTGGCATCACGGCTAATACTGTGATGCCACTGTTAGCCGCAATGATTGCTGCACAATTAATACAATATTGTTCCTTTTTACTATTTTCTTGCTTTTTCATTTCTTATAAAGAATTACCAACTTGCTGCTTAACTGGAAAAAAAAGATGAACTGTTTAAAAATATATATATGGTGCTGGGTAAATCACACACCTAGGATTTGCAGATTAAATGTAAAATCAGGTGTTCTCTGAAAAGAGCACACAAAAACAGGTTGCCGTTAACTTTCAGAATAAACTCACCCGTTACGGCCAGTTTTAAATTATGCATCGTAAAAGGCATGGTACAATGATTGAGTGTAAATTACAAAAGCTTGCTTGACCCTCTTGCTGCTCACAGATGAGATTCCCTGCAGTGATGAGATGCAGAAAGTTTGACAAGCAGAGAGAAATGCTATGGCTTTGTTTCTTTTCCAGAGAAAATTACTACATAAACCCCACAGTGAATGACTCATTTGCTGCCATTTCTTATCCCCCTTGATCCCATTTGCCTCAAAGCTTATATGGCTTGCACTTTTTTTTTCTTTTTTACTAAAACACATGCTGTTTTTACTGGATACAGTGTGCAACCCTTTGAGTTTTCCTAATTTTCAACACATTCGGATGTGCTGGCGAAGTTACGACTTGCAGGCAAAGCAGATTTAGTTTACTTAAGCTTTTTTTGTAAAGTGTATTCATTTGATTGACGGATGAGAGATTAATGCAAATTCAAGCAAGGAAACCTGTCTAGATCTTTCATTCAAATTTGCCTTCTTGGCTTGGGTGGTCTGAAAATATATCACAGTAGGCATTGCTATGAAGAAAATAAATGCACCATGGCATAATGAATACTAAATTCTACAAATAATTAAATATCTGTTGTTATATTTTATTAGTAAGCAACATCATTGTTATAATATGTTTAATAATATTGGCATATACATGCATTCTAGTCTTCTTTGTTGTTTTAGGGTTACCTGGTCATGCTGTGAATCTCAGCTTTCTAAGAAATTGCAGCAAAAAGAAAAAAAAAGAAAACATCTGCAGTACTGAGCAGGTCACCTTGACGTTTTTTTTTTTTTCCCTCCTGGTCTGTTTCTGCAGTCTCATTTCTGCAGCTCACTTTGTGGCTGCAGACGGTTTTAACTACACCGCTCAGTTTTAATCAAAAGTGCTAATTTGTCTGTGATGCTCTGCTGCCCCCACTGGATCGATCTGGAGAATTCAGTTCTCGTCACATCACAAAACATCATGCTCCATCTGTTGTCTTTGGTTGTGTGTGTGTGTGCGTGTGTGGGTGTGTGTGTGTGTGTGTGTGTGTATTTCGTTTTGTTTTTCCACATCTCTCCACCCCGTGGCTTAGCATGTGATTGGTGACCCTAATCACCTCCCTAATGAGAGTCCCATAAAGCCAATTACGACTGCAATTAATGAGATAGATGAACTTCCAGAAGGCGTAATTTGAAAATAACAAGCCTGAGTAGTTTACCTGGCAGCTTTCATTTTTATGAAATAACTTCAACGATGCAGCCTGATTCCTCCTGCTGTGATTCGTTACAGACTCCGCTTTATTGAGGAGTCTGTAACTTTAATGGTAGGATTTAATACACCGGCATCCTTTTCTTGAATTTCTTCACCAATATTCTTTAATTCCCTCCCCCAATTTTTCTGCAGCTTGCCATGAAGCACAAATGTTAGGACCACTGCCAAAACCACCTGCACTGGAGGTGTGAGCACAGACCAGACCAGTCGTTACACAGGAGAGGGATTCCAGCATTAATTCGTTTTACATTTTATATAATTAATCTTTTTTAACGATGTTAACATTTTACTCTTTTGGGTTATCTCACTGTGTTCATTCCTAATAACGGAGTTGCAGCACATACAGTGACTTGCAAAAGTATTTGCGCCCTCTTTAGCAGTTTGCTTCATGTTCTGTCACATCAAAATCACAAACCTCTGTCTAATTTATAAGAGTCATATGATAAACCAACACAAAGTAGTTCATCATTTTGTGGTCCTATCTGGTCTGCTTTGGATTTAAGCCTTTATTTTCACCGGACAATTTTTCACTGTTGTTCTGCATGTATGTTTAGATGTGCTGTTCTCCATGTCAGTCTCAAATCTCTTGCAGCCTTTATCACCTTTTTCCCCTCCATGTTTTTCCCATATTGTGCTCCATCTTTATCTGCAGCATCCGCCACATCATGACACTACCACCACATTTAGAGATGGTGTATTGAAGGGGATGGTGTATTGATTTGCACCATCAGTCCTCTACTAGATGCAGTACTTTATATCTAATCAGTGTCTCTTCTTCTACATGTTTGATCCTCTTATGACTTTCTTCTTGTCACTCGTCCTTAAAGGCCAGATTCATGGAGTGGCCGACTAATAGTTGTCTTGTCAGCAGATTCCACTTGAACAGTCTTTTTACGAGACGTTCAAAGTTCAGAATAGTGTCTATAAAACTAACCTTATGTTATTTTATACTTGTTTTGTCTATTGTCAGCAGATTCCACTTGAACAGTCCTTTATGAGACGTTCAAAGTTCGGGAAAGTGTTTAAGAAAAGTAACCTTATATTTTGTACCTCTTCTGTCTGTTGTTATTGTTCGTCTTCATAAAGCTGTTTGTCCAGTAACGTCCATTTCTATGGAGAATAACTAACACGTTAACCAATTAGGTGCTTTCTGACAGCAATTGATTGCACTGTCGTTAGAAAAGTGGGTTGAATACATATGCACACCACTTTAACATGACTCATCTCATTCAACTTGTATCCTTCACCATCCACTTTATAGTTATATACTACTCTGTGTTGGTCCCAGTTATAATAAATTACATTTTGTGTTTGTGATGTGACTCTGTGATGGTGTGGAAACGTTTAAGGGGTGCGAGTTCTTTTGAAAGACCCTGAAGACAGGAGAGGAAGGGACAACTTTGAGCAGAATCTTTAACGCTTCCGTTTGCCAAAAATGTGACTTTAATGACAACAGTTAATAGTAACAGGCCCTGAATACACATTGTGTTTTTGAGATAGTAATGTGTGGGCTAAGGTTAAACTAGAAAACTATCATTAATTTCTCCCAGACAAGTTAATACATTGTTTCTGATTGTTAGTAGTTATTTATGCACACTGCTGGGTTTTAAAGGCTGATTTATGAATCGGTAGTCTGTGTTTTCCTTTTGAAAAAGAGTGTCTCTATTAAATCAAATATAAATATTTTGCACCTACGTTTCTAAAGGTCGAGTCTTCCTTGCAAAATTTTGAACCAAATTTGGGACAGTGCGGTTTCAGCCTGTCCCTTTTTCAATCTGCATTTTTATTCTCAGTTTAACTCTTGAGTCTTTTGTCCTTGACTTCAGGAAGTACAAACAGTGTGATTCCTTTCATACAATGCCAACTGGAGTGGAGTGAAGAAAGATGATGAACACACTTTGTCACCTTATGGATATATATATATTTTTGGGAGAAACAAAAAAAAAAAAAAAAGCCTGCAGCATTTTTTCAGAAGTATTAACATTGTTTCTAAGGATATTGATTACACACATTGTATTGATTTATGTTACAAAGAGGCAGTACATTAGACCAGGCTGCGGTCTGAAAGAAAAACGACCTCTTATACTGATATCTCAATGTCTGTAGATCTAATTTATTCCTTTATGGGGGGTATTACAATTAATCCCTGCTGTAGTTCACTTTTCAACATCAAGTACTGAGTTCCTTTGCTTTTCTTTATTTAATTTGGGAATTGTTAAGAGATGACAGCTGATCATGGATACATTCCTTCAGTAGCAGCAATATGATACTTTTTGTTGCTTTTTTTCATTGTACTTTCCCACGCTGACTGTAATTTTGAGGTCACAGTTTGGATGTACACGATTGTTTTTATATTTTGCTTTTTTTCTAAGTCATGATGTTACAAAGCACTGATGTAATAATCCTGCAGTGCACTGCTAAGTTCATAATGAGCTCTAGTTGCCTCACTTGGATGTTTTAGCTTTTTAATGACAAGAAAAAGATTGATTTCTATTATTAGTCCTTTTTTTTTCTAGGTAGCTTGAGGTTTGTGTTTTATGCTTCCAACAAATGTAACGCACACCTGGTACTTTGATAGTTAATTCACAAAATTGTTCTCTTTTTTCAAACAATGTGCCAACAGCTTTAAGTGTTTCAGGGTTTATTATCTTGCTTTCTTTGTTTGATGGGCTCAGTTTCACTTTAAGCTTTAACACTTGGTGTTCTTTTCTCTGATTTCCACTCCAACTCTATGCGGTTGTAACATGTGAAATAAAGACCACAATTACAGTAAACTGATTGTTCATTGGTGTTTCTTCTACAGTGTGTTGTTTAAAGCTTATGATTTGAATTATTATAACATGCTAACTTTTGTTTCTGTACTTTGAAGATTAATTATACTCTTTCTATACTGTCTACAGATCTATATAAGATTAAGTCAGTGTGCGATGACCACTAATTCTTCCCCCTTGACTTTTGAGGAGTGAATGCTGCCCTCAAGTGGTGGATTTTAAAAATACAATTGGTCCAAATAAATAAATGGTACAGAAAGACAAGCTGTGAAAACCCTACAAAGAACGATGCATCTTCTCCAACTCCATCAAGCTTTATTTTTATGGGTGAAAACAGAAGACTTGTGAATATATACATGACTTACTCATTTGAAGTCAACTGTAGAAAACATACAGGATCCCTGTTTTTGCTAAACATGTAAATGCAAATATTTTAACATCTTATCTAAATCTCTTTTTTTTTATCTTGAGAGATTCTCATGTTTAAATGGCTAAATTTATATAAACTTCAGACCTTTAATAAAGAGAGTCTGTAGATGTGGATGAACTTGCTGGATGCATTTCAGTTTAGAAAGAAACAATGTTAATTTTGCTGGTAAAAATAATACCAAAAAAGTATCGCTAATCGTCAGGTGACACTTTTATTGTACTGTAAGATATTTTCTGAAAACAAACTAATAAAACGGGTCAGGGGTCTGTTTCAAAGACAGGATAAGGTATTTAGCTGGGATTTCTGGGCTAATCTGTTTTAACCCATCCTTTTAATCGGTTTCACAAAGGCAATCGCATCAGTAAATCAGCTACCATGGTGACGTACTCTGAACATAGTTTAGTCAGTAGCAAGGAAATAAACTGTAAAAACATCTTTATACAAAATCAGATGTGGTTTTCATGTTATAGCTGTTTTCTTGTTTCTAGATTACCCTACAACTGAATAAGCTGATCTGGAAGATGTTCATGACAAGGAACTTGAGGCGTCTCCTTATGGTAAATGATCAACCCGTGGACAGAGGCCATCACGGGTTCAAGTCCCGCCCTGTTGAATGTTCCCCCTCTCTTGCACCCCACGTTCCTGCCGTTTCACTATGAAAGACCACTAGAGCTGAAAAAAAAAAAAAATTAAAAAACTCATATTTAATATTTACTTCTAAGCAGATTATAGGAATTATTAGAGCATGTGAAGCATATACTATTAAGTGAAAAGTGTGAAGTCCTTAGATATGTAAGGCTTTAAATGGGAAGAAATTTATTCGAATGCAGCTGACTGCCCCTTCATAATGGGGGCCATATTTTACCCTTTTATTGTAGTATTACATCCACTTTTTGGATGTAATGTCCACTGTTGCACTCTACATGAATTTATTTCAATAAATTCATAGATGGTTTTCATTTACGCAACTCAAATTAGTTGTCAATTTTTATTTGTGACTGTTTGGTTTTTGATGCAGCTGTTTTAAGTGAATTATTGTTTATGTAAGCATTTTTAATGTATATTTTACTTAAAATTCTCATTTAGTTTAATTGCTGTGTTACACATAAGGTCAGTTTTTCTTCATCAGTTATTCTGTGATCGACCTCACTGACCTATGAAAACAGCCAGATTTCTTCAGCAGGATTAGTTAAACCTGCCTTAACTTTTAGCTGCTCCTCTGTTGCGCTGATGAGGCTCGATCAAGCCCATTTATATTTATCCTTATCCTGAATTGATCAACTCTATTCTGGACACAAATTGTGCCACACTTGAACTATTTTCTTGCTACGTTGTATTGAGGATTTCAAGCGACGTCTGTCCTTTTTGCCAGACGTGTTGCGTGTTTGCTCACTCCTTTTGAGCAAATTTCTCCTTTGAAACTGAGCCACTCTCAGTTTCAAAGGGTGGCTGTCTTTACCATTTAGTCAGACTGACTTTGCACGCAAGCATTACACCATTGATGAACATTAAGTCATCTGAAACGTTCCGTTTTTCCATCTAATGGAGGGAAACTGTTTAAATCACACTTTAATCCTCCTATTTTAGTGTTCTTATTAATGATACAAATCAATGCGACAAGCAGGGATAGCTAGAACAGTTGCTGCTGAAATACACATATAAATTTTAGTGCTGGAGATGGCGGCAAAGCAAGCGCCTCATTAAAACCCTGGCACAGGACTCTGCTGCCATTACTCACTCTGCAAACCAGTTTGAGTCATCCTTCCCTGCTGCTGAAAACTGTCTGCAGTTGTTCATCTTTCTGTTGTTTGTGTCTCCGGAACATAAAAAAGAAGGCTCCATGTCCATGTTTATTTTACCCAAACTCATGGCAAGTCAAAATGTTAAAACTTGTTCATTTGAGTACTACTGCAAAGACTACTGGTAGTCTAAAATAAAAATATACTATAAATAAAAATCTATTAAATTCTTTGCTTGATTTTTATATATATTTTTTATTGCATTATCTTTTTTTTTTTTTTTTTTTTTTTTTTACCACGGGGGGGCGCCCTAGTCTTTAGGAAAACAACAATTGTGTCCTGTTTCTGTTTAGCATTGATTACTTTGTTTTACTGTAATTTAGTCTCGGAAAATGAACTAAATCAATAAAATACATGTCGTCAGTGTTTATTGGTGACATATTGGATCAACTCTACAACTTAACTGAGACGCATACGTACTGGTAATTGCTACGGTTAGTGGTAGAGTAAAAACAAGAAGCCAGTGAGAGCAACAAACATTTTGTCCACATTATTCTGACCTATTATTAATGTATTTGTAAGTTAAGTTTAGGATATAACTCCTGGAAATGTATGTGACGGAAAATAAGCTTTGATATATCAACTTTTTAAAAAAATTATAGTGATTTGATCAATGTGTCTGTGATTGGAAAAACTTTTCCAATCGGTTTTTGAAGAGAAAGGCATTCAGTGTTTACTCCAATCAATGGAGGCAGATACGAAGCACCGTCATAACACACACTTGTGTGTATGGCACACACTTGAAATGTATGGCTTCATTTGTATATGAATCAGTATAAAGTGGGTGTCTCTTTTCTAATTGAAAGTGGGTGAGCAAATAAGATTTTTCCTATGGTGCCTGTCCAAATTTGGCTACATCTGAATAAAGGCATTCACGCTGGCATTTGTGGGTGTAAGAAAACTAAATTTGAAAAGGTTCACAGAGGCAGAAAAATACTTTACTCACATTTACATACAAGGAGAATACTTCCATCAGTGGTACACCGAGCCTAACTTATTTGTTGAAGGATCTTTGCAGAAAACCTGGAAAGCTTGCGCGAGCAGATGTCACCTTCAGAGATGCATTGGCATTCCTGTCAGACAGGAAGTGTGAGCCTCAGCAGAGGTTTACCGGCCGCCTTACTGAGAAGCCAGCCAGCCACCCTCAGCCACCCTCAGGCCAGCTCGTTTTTAATCTGCCAACATCCCCAAAGGCTCAGCGGAAGTAATTACAGGTTACACCCAAAGGTTAGGAGTGCGAATGAACTCAACGACACTTCTAGTTTTCATTATCACATACAAATCTCTGCTGTGATGTTTCTTGAAATAGGTATCTGTCAAGACTTGATTTTTTTTTTTTTTTACCTCAAAGCGAATCTTTGTTGACTAAAGCAGAATATTGCCACACTTACTCTAGAAACTTGGATAGAGAGAAATGTCCACGAACCCAAGTGCTGCACACCGTCCCGATCAAAGGAAAAGGAATGAGCTCTAAATGTTATATTTAATCTGTGTAATTTAAGCAGTCTGCGACTTTAATCCAAATCCTGTGGATTTTCATCAGTCATCTATTCTACGAAGTGACATTTAATATTTAAAAGTCGTGTTGTTGTTTTTACTACCTTCCCTTTTTGGTTTTATTCTACCCTCAAGCCCAAAGTAATTGAGAAATCTGTACAAAAAATAAATAATAAGAAACCAAACATAAGGCAGTTGAGAAAATGGTGCTAGCTTAAAAATTCTTTTTTATCTTTGTTGAGCTAATCTGAATAATCACACAGTACGAACGACAGTGTGTTGCACCTTATAGACATAGTCGGTACTTTTGATCTGTGTTACTGAACCTCACCTTAGATATGTTCTAAATCCGTTTCTTGATTGTGTACGTTCTGGTATCTCCAAATGAATCCCACTGAGGGAAGGAGGACAAAAAAAAAGGCAGAATTTATTTTTGATCTAAGGTAGAAACGGAGACCGGTGCAGTTTGGGT